ATAGTGAAAAACACCTTAAAGCTGCTGATTTTCTAAAACAAACACCTTTTTCCCTCCATTATTATTATCTTTTCTAAAGATCTGTACAAAGTCTTCATACTGTTTCATTATTTACTGGATCAATACAGTCTCTCAATGACAACATATAAGTACAGCCTTTAAATAATTATTCAATGAACTTTTTAAAATAAAATCACCATTATCACACGTTAGTATCCTCTATAACTGAAGTAGTTTTTACGTCTTCTTGTTTTCCTACGTTCATATGAAGGACCGCTGGCTATGATGGCGATTTTTTGTTGTATTTGGCAAAGTCCCTACTCCCGTTCTAATGACTTCAGTCTTGACATCAGACTGTCCTCCTGTAGATTCGACCGATGTAGTAAAATGCTAACCAACACGCTTCACACACGGCTATGCCGAGAGAGGGCCGCTGCACACGGGCTGCCGTTAGCTTCGGAGCTCCGCTGGTGCCGCGATCCTCTCAAGTTTGGAACATTTTCTTTTAAATTACGCATTAAATCTGTGAATGGGCCATATGGAGATGCTTAAAAGTATAATGTTCTCGCCTCAAATAATCTTAAAACGTACTTTTTTATTGAACAACAGCAACAGAAAAGAGAACATTTAACTTAGCACTCAGAGCTCTGTGAGTTAAGAAGATGGGCCGCCAACCAATGAGCAGAAGTTGACTCTCTAGGACACGCCCCCTCCTCATTTGCATAATGAGGCAGAAATGCATAGAAAAATGTAAAAAGGGCAGGCAGTAATAAATAGCGGCGAAGAAATAACTAAGGTAAAAAAATACAAAGGAAAAATAAAAAAGACAAAAATATTATAACATGCACATAAATAAATACTTAAAAATGTAAGTAATTAGAAAATAAAGTTGAAGATTATAAAGGACAAAAAAAAATAAGGTAAATATTACAAAGGCAAATAAATAAAGAAGCTAATTTAAAGAGTTATATACATTTATGTTTCACTGTGTAATTTAATTTCTACTTACATTTATTTGTTTATTGTATTTTTGTTGGCAATTAATTGTATGCTTATTTATTTATTGAGCATTTATTTATTTCTGTATTTATTTTTAAATATGGCAGAGTTGGTCCTCCATATATGACATGGTACGATGCAGAAATCCTCTTTGCGATCCTTAGATATTAAGAAGACATTATTTCAGTATAAATAAAGACAAATTAGCATGAAAGTGTGGATCAGAGCAGATCCGCATACAGTGTAAATCTAACAGTGTCAGTGTCAACAATCTGAGGGAGGAGCTTAACTTATAACGATGCTCTGGATGGGCAGGTAGGTTAAATAAATTCTGGAAGTCAGGTGGTTAAAACCAAAAAATGGGTCATCATTGTGTCTTTTAATTTGTCTATAATCTAAAATATGGCCACATTAATGAGAAAAATGTTCTAAACCAAACATTTTTTTACTTTTATCTTCTGATCTCAGTCCTATAGCAAATCTGCAGTTGGCTGAGAAATAAGAACCCATCCAGACCAAGCTGGGTTTGAGAATATAACAATCCTTTTGGTCCATAAGTCATCCAATCACAATTAAGCAACAGTGTTTAAATAAAAAATGTTTAATTTATACGTCTTATTGCGAAATCAACTTCAACTGAAATTTATATTTGTGTTCATACCCTTTTTCTACTCTTTTATACCCATATTAGCCTAAAAATTAATATCTAACAGAGAGTGTGTTCTTTCATTTGAGTTTATTGATGTACAAACTTTGCTCTCAAGCTGTTTAGAAACACTTTTTGTTTTTTGTTTTTTTCTGACTTGAAAGAAAACAGTTCAAAAACATTGATAGTTGCACAGCTTTGCAGTAGCTTTGGGGGACTTTTAAAATGTTTGAAGCATGCAGAAAATAGAGCCAAAAAAACAACAGTTGAAATATTAAAAGCAAGCTCTTAATCTTAGATCCAGAAAATGATTGGTTTTAAACATAAAAAAAGAGAAATGTGAAGCACTTGTATTTTAGTCACAGCAATAAAATAGGTTTACAGGAGCTTATTTGTGCTACTCTTGAAAATAAAGCCAAACAAATTAAATTAAGCTGTTTCCATCACCTTTTTTTTTAACCTAAAGTTATCTAAAGGGAGTTAAAGAAAGGGCTCTCTCATTTGAGGAGAAAATAAACAAGCTTTTGTTTTCATTATCAAAATATTTCTCCTTTAACTCTCTTTTCACAGTTTAATTATTGTTATTCAACCTTTGAATAAGAATTAAATACTTAACTGAGGTTCTGACTTCGATGCTCTGTTATTATCTGAGCATAATTAGATTTATTAAGACATTTTTTATTTGTTAGAAAGAAATATTGTCTAACACTTTTCTCATATAGTGAAATTGTGAGAAACAGTGTTACTTTTCTCAGTTATTACATGCAGAAAGTTATGATCTGGTAATGCATCATCAAACATCATGTTCTTTGAATGTCTTTTTTTGGCTTATAAGCATCAGGTAAAGGTTAAAGATGCTTAGTTTGCTACATTCATGGAAATAACATTAGTTTTAGGTTATTTTCTGTTAGATTCAACACTTTTGCCTTAATCAAATACGCTGCAACCCTTTTAATAATGTTTAAAGTAAAAAGAAAACTGGACTCATTATCAGCCAGTTTTAGGAGCATTGTCACATTATAAGACATTTCTTTGTTTACGTACCAGTAGCTCGTTCTGGTTGCAGCTTCCTGCTGGCATATTACAATTTATTTTTGTGCTTTATGCTTTATTTCTCAGTTTGTTAGTAAATAAAGCCCTTTATGTGTATTTTCTATAACAACAGTTCTTGACAGGAGGTAAAAAAAAAATGCAAAAGAAGCACCTTGTGAAAACAATAAATTAAAGTCCAACATTCAGAGCTAAAAACACCATGAAATGTTTCAATTCATGGGGATAAGACATAAATTGCACTCAGAAAACAGTAGGAAAAGTAGGGAAATAGCATTTTGATGTGTTTAATTTCTAATAAAAAAGGTTTTTTAGTTTATTAAACTAAAATATGATTACCTTGATGCTGTGTTTATGTTTACATTTGGAAGGAATGGGAAAAAGAATTGGAATTTTATTTTTTCTTAATGTTCAGATTAAAGGTTCTGAGGAGGATCATCTAGAACTTTGCTGTTACTATCGGTTGGTCTTCCACTGCGCCAACCTGTTGCTTTACCAAGAGGCCTTGCAGAACGGTCAGGCTCTATTAGGTGCAGGCTCTAGGAGCTGCATTTCCTCCAGTTTACTACTTCCCCTTATGGGATTTATGTGGTGTTTTGCAAAAAACAAAAGAAGCAGTATTTAATATCAAGGGGACCGTTTTACCCATCAACCCTCCTTTGGCAAAGCAGATGTATTCATGATAGTACGGTGCCCATATTTAAGTTGTGCTGCCATAACGCAGAACAGGATATTGTCATGTTCGGCTTAAGGTTCCTAACCCACATGCAGAACACACGGAAACAGGAGAAAGGTCAAAGGTTTATTAGGTGATGTTTCTGCACTGAGAATAAACAGATCCAGGCGGTTTAATCTGAGCCAGGACTGGTCACGAGCGGGTTCACTGCAGAGGGGGACAGAGAAGTTAGCAGATGTCCAGATAATCAGCAGGATGTGAGTGAGCGGGACTGTACCTGTTCTGGAGTTAGAGCTTAATGGCTGAGGGGGGGCGACGTTGAGGGTCCAAAGGCTGTGGGCGGGCTGAGGGCTTGGCGGAGGCAGAGCTTGGTTTGAGTGTTTGCAGATAACTGGTTTGAGTTTCCCTTCCAGATTCTTCAGAGAGCGGGCAGGCAGGTCTTTCACAGGAATGATTCTCCAGGGTTCCTCAGAGATCAGACAGGCAGATTTCCAACAGAGAAACTCTTCAGGGTTTTCAGGTTTTCAGGCAGGTTCAACCTGGGAAGCAGAAAGGAGAAAACGGATCAGGTTCAGGTTTCAAGGGATTCAGAGATTCAGACAGGCAGGTTGGCTCAGGCTTGCTAACCGTTACTGGCAAACACTCTGGCACAGGAGAGACGTCCTCTGCCTCCTTAAGTACAGATCCCCTGATGAGCAGATGAGCGACAGGTGGTAGCAATCAGCTCCGGCTCCAGGAGATCTAGTACGCCCTCTGGTGGAGAAAGTGGACAGACCTCCAGATCCCAACAGATATGCACTAAACAAAAAAGGACTGATAGCTCTTGTCAGGTCTAAGCACCTAAAACATCATACATACATACAGGGAAAGAAAGAAGGCACAGAGACAATTAATTTAGTTACTCACGAGGAGAGTAGGAAGAGACTGCCGAGTTTACAATCTCCACCTCACTCTGCAGTCTTCAACTTTCTCCTTGCTATTTATTGAAGAAAAGGGGATGTCCCTAATTACACCAGCTTAGGTTTAACTAAGGGGAAGGGAAACAAAAGGATCTTACTTCAAACCTCAGCACATAAGTTAAAACAAATCATGTGGTTGTTTTACAATTGAATTGTTCCAAGAACACATGTTTAGAAGAAACATGTGATAGAGGCTGTTAAGGCCTCTTTCACAACCCGTCCGTTGCATGACCTTTATCTGGAACAATCTTAAGGAAGATTTAATAAAAGATGAATCACACATTATACATCATAATAGTTCATTAGAACACAACCCATGAAACACAAACAAAGTAAGAGTAGAAATAAAATATTTCTAACAGCTCTGTTGTCTGCCAGCAGGTGGCGCCACATCTATTTATGTCAGCTCTCTGCACCCGGTGCTGGAATTCTATTTAGGCTCAAAATGCAAATAGCTAAACGTTATCAGGATGGATGCTTGGCAAACATAACCTAATTTGATCAGATTTAAATATATAAAGTCGTTATTCACCTTTAAAGCCTGTTTAACATATCTTTCGTAATAATGGAGCAACAAACAAATAAATAACAAGGAGTTTATGAACCTCCACATTTTGATGTATGATTTTAACTTTGTCAGGCGCGTAACATTCCAGCCTCCGTTTTCCAGGCATGTCTGGGAAAAAGACGGCTCGGCGATCAATGTTCATTCAATCCCCCGCATGCGCCTGGACGCCGACGGCACCCTGCACATTTCCCAGACCTGGTCGGGTGACATCGGCACGTACACATGCAGAGTCAACTCGGTCGGAGGCAACGACTCTCGCAGCGCTCACCTCCGTGTCAGGTAAACCCCTCCATCTTCTCCTCTTCCCTTATCTTTTCTCCTTCACACACTTGTCTCCAAATTTCTTTGATGTAAGGTAGCAGAAAGGAACATATCCTCTGCGCCCCGCTGTCCTGCCTGTTCTTATCCACACCTCTGACACATTTCCACTTAAATGACGCCTTCTCTTCCTCACCTCCCTTGTCCTCATTCTCACCTGACACTCTCCCAGCCCCTGGTGACCCCCCTCTCCCACCTCTTCCTTTTCCTCCCCTTCTTAGACAAACACCTCTGCACTTTATTATTCTTTAAAGTTTTATCGTTCCTCATCATTTCACCGCTGGCCGACTGCAGTAAGGTTAAATTTAATATGAATGTGACTGTTTCTATCTTCATCCCTCCACTGTCTCCCCTGCTGTCTTTAGTCAGAGGTACCCTCCATTCGTCGCTTTCAGGTTTACATATCAATCTGTCTCCGCTTATCTGAATTTATGCCTAAATGAGTTAATGATCCTCAGCTTTAGTCTCATTTATTCACAGCTTTGTCTTTGCATTTCCCTGCTATCCTTATCCTATTATCTTTCATTCCATTTCCCTACTAGTTCTCTGATAATATCCACCTCGCTTTGTTTGCCTGCATGTCCATCTTGACAAGGAATCGTCTTCGCCGTGCTGTCATGTCCAATTTCATCACCTTTTTGAACAGATGTCTCTGTTGCGAAAGGTTTGACTCTCTGTTCAGGGTCTACAGGAGATTTCTGCTGCCTAGCAAACTGCTCTGGTAGACAGATTTCTTTTATTTATCAAAGTTGTCCTCTGATCTCTCCCTCCGTGCAGGCAGCTTCCCCATGCCCCGGAGAACCCGACGGCCATGCTGAGCAAGTCTGAAAAAAGAGCCATCGACCTGGCCTGGGCCAAGCCTTTCGATGGCAACAGTCCTCTCATACGTTATATCCTGGAGGTTTCTGAAAACAGTAGGTTTCCTCAGATTCACTTCTGCACTCTTCTTAAAGTTTACTTCTTCTTGTGCCAGTTTACCTCTAAATTATTTATTCAGATTTGGGTTTGGGGAAGAGGAAACTTGACTCATGGGATCGCTGATGCAGACTTAAAAAGGTGGAAAATGCTTCGTGTTTTGGTTTGGGGTTTTCTGGCGTACTTCAATCTGTGGTGGTTTTCCCTCCAAGCCTAACAGCAAAGTCAATGCAGCAGAATTTAAGAGCTGATCTGAATAAATTTAGGAGCATAATCAATTAAAGTTATCGTGATTATGTTGGATGTTTCCAACACTGAAATACTGGTCCTTCTATTAATATTAAAAAACTTGATAAATTTGTGTCAAAAGCATTAAAAATGTATCTGTTAATGCAGCAGCAGACAGAAAAGGGGAATCTCAGATTAAGGAGAATTTTTAAATCACAAAGCGTGACATGAAAAAAAGCGTTAAAAATCCAACATACAGAATTAATACTTTTCTAACGATACTGAAATTAAAATTGCCTTGTAAATTGTAATTTAATTCTTACTATTTCTGTAGAGTCTAAAAATCTCTTAGAATGGAGGCCAGTTTGAAAGTCATCAAAATGCGAAACACAGTGTTACCAGCCACTGAGATGAGACAGATATAATTATAATCATTTATTTTACTGATCTCACATTGGAGAAATTTACCTCTGCATTTAACCCATCCCTTTGGGGAGCTGTGAGCTGCCATTGTGCGGCACCCGGGGAGCAGTGTGGGGTTAAGGTTCTTGCTCACTACACCGGAGAACGGAGAACAAGCAGGAGTCCAAAGCCAGGTCAGGCAAACAGATCAGAACAGGAAAGTTCAGAGCTCCAGAAGTCCGAAGACAGTTAAGGCAAACCTAACAGTCAGGCTCAGTGGTTGAGAGGCAGAACAGGTCAGGATCAGGTAATCAGAAACACTCAGGTACGCTAAAACACTCTTACCACTGGCACAAGAGAACAATCAGTGTGGGGGTTAAGGGTCTTGCTCAGGGAGCCAGAGTGGCAGTCTTTGGGAGTGGGACTAAAACTCAGAACTCCCACTAGATGTGTGCTGATGTCTAAAACTCAAAGATAAGCTTGGAAAAAATGTCTCAGCTAAGAGGTTGATAAAAAGTACTTTAAGTTCCCTGTTGATAAAGTAAAGCAGGAAGTGACATGTTGGGGTCTCCAGGATGCCAGCACAGCATCTAAATGCCACTCAGTTGAAAGAGGCAGGAATGGAAGCCATTTACTGTTCCACCAAACCAGCAGGAACATTAGGATCGGCTAAAAGCTGCTGGTTGGTTATTATTTTTACAAACATTACAAACATATTATAAAGAAAATGTCTTTACTGTTAAAAGGATGATTCAATATTATTGTTAGTTTAGTTTATTATAGCGGTAAAAGATGTAGCCCATCTGTTTAAGGTGAAAGCAAACTGAAAACCTATTATTAAAGTTACCTATTAAAGTTTCTGTTTTTAAAACAGACAGCTTTTCAATGAAGAACCCCGAACAACTTCAAGTCAACAGTCCAATTTACCTCCATTAAAGACTAATTTAGAACTCAGGGTTTGTCTCAATTATGCCTAATAAAAGCACCTCAAACCCAATGCTGATCTATAGTGGCAGATCTGTAATGCTGAGGTACGGTGGCAGATCTATATTGCTGAGGAGCAGTGGTAGATCTGTAATTCTAAAGTAGGGTGGCAGATTGTAAT